TGCTGAGCATAATGTCCTCTGATGTTGTCCATGTCATGAGGCATTTGACAGACTCGTCATTGTTTTAGAAGGAGGTATAATATTTCATTGGATGGATGGACCAGAGTTTCGTTTTATCCATTCCTCCACAGACAGGGTTTTTGATTGTTTCCATCTTTTTGTTATTATAGAAATTGCTGCAGTGATGTAGGGTGCATATATCTGTTTGTATGTGTCCTTCATCTCCTTAGGGTATAGATAACAGGCGTCTAAGGTATTTGTATTTGCACTTTTTAAAGAAGGACCATGATATTTTTTATAGTGGTTATACAATTCTGCAATCCCACCAATATTGTATGAACATTCAAATCTACACTTTCCAGAATTTACTATTTTCTGTTTTTCAGGTGCTATCTCATTGTTGTTTTAATTTATATTTCTTATTTAATAGCTTGACTGATGCTTCCATGGAGCATTGACTGTGGATCCAAGCAAGATTCTTGACAACCTCGATCTTTTCTCTTTTTCATGATGCCACCTCTTGGTCCAATTGTGATGATACTTTTTTCTTTACATTAAATTGTAATCCATATATATAGTCTGAGAAACCTTAAATAGGGTTGCTATGAATTGGAATCGATTTGATGGCAATTTGTTTAAAAACTGAAAATTTACCTTCTTTATGTCCCCCAAACACATATGCACTGCCAATTATGACTCACATAGCCTCTCCAGGGCAGTATAGAAATGATCCCATTGGGTTTTGGATGCTGTAAATTTTTATGGAAACAGACAATCTCAACTTTGTCTTGTGGGTTTGAAGTGCCATGGCCAGCTTTTCCATTAGCCGACCCATACTTAATCCATGGAGTCACCAGGGTTTATTTTACCTACATAAAGGGTCATACAGTGGTGCAATGGTTAGGCTGCTAACAGAAATCCACCAGCCACTCTGTGGGAGAAAATACTTGGAAATGCATTCCCATAAAGATTACAGCCTAGAAAATCCTATAAGGCAGTTCGACTTTTCATAAAGCATAGTTGAGTTAGAATTAACTAGATGGCACACAGCAATGTGGTGTTGCACTGTGCAGTAGACACAACAGTCTTTTACTACCAATAGATCAACTGTCTTGCTTCTCCAGCTGACTGACCTGGCTATTTTAGATATATTGAACCTTGAATTGGTGAAAATTTCCCAATTTGATCATAGGCTGGAATAAAAAAAAAAAAGAAATGATAAATTTCATGAGATCAGGTAAATCTTGATAAATGAACAACCAGTGCTTTAGAAAAAACAAACAATTAAATTATGGGGTAAATGCTTTATACATCATTGGTCATCCTCTAAAAGAGTCCTTAAGATTCTAGACAGCCATCTCTAATAGCACACTTTTACCTATGTTTTGGAAGACAATATTGAGACTCTCATGAATTTCCCAAAGCACATCATGTTTGCTTAAAATCAGGCACTTAGTTGAGTAATCGGCAGGACAGTGTGTGGGAAGAAATCAGACAACCAGCAGGAGCGCAGCAGTCATTGGAATAATCAGATCAATGCAGTGGGTCTCCATGGCAACCCAGGACCGCAGCTGATCATCCTCCCCTCGCTCGCACACAATAGCCCACCTGAAACATGTTATTGTGCGCTACATCAAATTGTTGCAAAAATTCCAGTTTACAAAACATTACAGGTTACTTAACCTGATTCTAAAACTCCCACAAATTTATAAAGAAATGCTTCTCTAGTAAGTACTATAAATTTGCTTTTGAACAGATACTTTTGGAATGAGCAACAGGGAAGAAAACTCACTTTCATGCTAAATTTACAATTCAGGGAACTGCAGAGGTATGTGTTTAGGAAGTTTGTTGACTTGTTCCTCTCAGTAGAGTTCAGTGGTAATGTCCATCCCTCTCTTGTAGAGGACAAGTTGTAAATCAAGGTGGTGCTATTGGTGGCCTAGAGAGATGTCTAGATATCTTTGAACTCTGATGGCATTGTTGGTAAGTGTTGGGTTGGAAACCAGAAGGTAAGCAGTTCAAACCCACCAGCCACTCCTTCAGGAAAAACCTTGAGGTTATTTGCTTCCATACAGGTTTATAGCCTTGGATCCCCTATGAATCCGAACTGATTTAATGACAATGGTTTGGGTTCTACTTCTTCACTGTTGGTGTCTTGTATTGTGATGAATTATATGAGCTCCAATAAATTGATTAATAAAAAAAAAAGTATAAAGTGTATTCGCTAGTTACAAAAAAAAAAAAAAAAGAAAGTGGTGAAGAAAGCTGATAGAGTCTGGCTATCAAAAGATACAGTGTCTAGGGTCTTAAAGACTTGAAGGTGAACAAGCGGCCATCTAGCTCAGAGGCAACAAAGCCCACATGGAAGAAGCATACCAGCCTGTGTGATCACGAGGTGCCAAAGGGATCAGTTATCAGGCATCAAAGAACAAAAAAATCATATCATTGTGTGCTCACCTCCCCAATACAATCACTGAAGACAAATGGGTGCATAAGCAAATGTGGTGAAGAAAGCTGATGGTGCCCGGCTATCAAAAGATATAGCGTCTGGGGTCTTAAAGGCTTGAAGGTAAACAAGCAGCCATCTAGCTCAGAAGCAACAAAGCCCACATGGAAGAAGCACACCTGCCTGTGTGATCATAAGGTTTCGAAGGGATGAGGTATCAGGCATCAAAGAACAAAAAATCATATCATTGTGAATGAGGGGGAGTGTGGAGTGGAGACCCAAAGCCCATCTATAGGCAACTGGACATCCCCTTACAGAAGGGTTAGGGGGAGGAGATGAGCCAGTCAGGGTGCAGTGTAACAACGATGAAACATACAGCTCTCCTCTAGTTCCTAAATGCTTCCTCCCCCTGTACTATCATGATCCCAATTCTACCTTACAAATCCAGCTAGACCAGAGCATGTACACTGTACAGATAGGAACTGGAAACACAGAGAATCCAGGACAGATGATCCCTTCAGGACCAGTGGTGAGAGTGACAATACCGGGAGGGTGGAGGGAGGGTGGGGTAGAAAGGGGGAACAGATTACAAGAATCTACATATAACCCCCTCCCTGGGGGATGGACAACAGAAAAGTGGGGAAGGGAGACGTCTGACAGTGTAAGATATGACAAAATAATAATTGATAAATTATCAAGGGTTCAAGAGGAGGGGGGAGCGGGGAGGGAGGGGATAAATTGAGAAGCTGATTCCAGGGGCTTATGTGGAGAGCAAATGTTTTGAGAATGATGAGGGTAACGAATGTACAAATGTCCTTTATACAATTGATGTATGTATGGATTGTGATAAGATTTGTATGAGCCCCCAATAAAATGATTAAGAAAAATGTAGTCTTTCTTTAGCTGGGCTGTAAACTCCCTATGTTTACAGTTTTTGTTTTTATACTCATTTTATTCATAGGTAATCTTCAAAATATGGGGTAGTTGTATACCGTCTAGAGTAACCAGTTTAACAAGACATAAATTTGATTAGATAAAGTTTAGTTTGGATCCTTCCACAGTCACAGATGGATTGATAGGGTGGCTGCAACAAGGGGCTCAAACATAAGAACAATTGTGAGGCTGGCACAGGACCGGGCAGTGTTCTGTTCTGTTGTACAAAGGGTAGCTATGAATTGGAGCTGACTCACAGCACCTAACATCTACGACCTAGTCACAGACCACATCCATAAACCTCTGGCAATTTCAAGATTGTGTTATTCCTAAATTAAAAATAATTAATGACTTACTTAGCAAAATGTTCTGCAAGTATATGAAAAGAAGTAAACATATTACAGTATTAAAGTATCTTCTTTTTTTCCTATAAGCACATTCTCATTTAGTGTAATATGGACATACCGATGTATAATAATCAATGGGACATGAAGAGTTTTGGCAAACAGTTACCTTGATGATTTGCATGATTTGTGTGGGGAGTACAGCAGGTAGAAGTGTAACTTGAAAAATAATTTATCTAAAACTCGAGTGTAAAATAAATCATCATGTGGATACCCCTTGTGAAACACCAGGAATATATAGACACACAAAATTCCATAAATCGTTGCCCTAAATTATATTTGCTGTATGGAGAATAAATATAATGTACAATATACTATTTAATGTATGTGATTATAAATTAAAAATGAATTCTTGATGTAGAATATAAATATACACACAAAAGCCCACTGCCACTGGGTCAATGCCAACTCATAGGGACCTTGTAGGATGGGGTAGAACTGCCTGGCGAGTTTCTGAGGCTGTAACTGGACGCTCACTTCTGACAAGACCTTCACGATTTTAGATCAAGTCTTTACCCTTAGAAAGTATTCTTGGGAATAAAAAAATGGAGACAGACTTTCTTTCTCCTTGAAACAGTCTTAACTAAATGAGATCACTGGTTACCGACAGGCCATTTTCCCCATAGTTGAGAGTCTGACTTGGCTGACACGATTTTAAATGAGGAAAATAATATTTCATAAGGTTATTTGAGTGTTAGCTGTAAGCTATGAAAAGCACGGAGTAAAATGACACTTAGTGGGCACTCGTAAACAGCAGTTCTTATTATCATTACAACTAATAGTATACTGATCTATTCCTCAGCATCCAGGTTATTGTAATGTGACAGTCAGGTTCCCTATGTGTAGTACCTTTTCCCACAGGGCATAGATGTGAATGAACACTCAAGACGTAATTGGCTCTTCTTTGTGTTCTGTTACAAAAACAGTGCTAATGCTGGCGTGGAACAGATCATGTATTGCAAGATAACGGAACAGTGAACGGCAGGACAAGGAAAAGTGCTAAGTGCACCGTGAATTCCTTAACACGTTTTCCAGCCAAATGTATAGACATCATCAGCTATTTTAAACATCGAGCTAGAGACTGTGTAAGAGAACGCATGAAATAGAAAACATAGGAAAACATATTCCAAAGCTTTCGTGCACAATGTAAAGCAAATGACTTGCGACAGGTATTGCTTATTTAGGAGAGGAGCTCATTGAAGAGTTCGTCGTGTTACCTGTGCTGGAGTCACTGGTTCCAACCCCGAAGTCGACTCTGAGTTGAGGGCGCTTTTGCCACCACTGAGCTCGGGCTGCGAGCGATGCTCTGAGGACCTGGGAGGGCACGGGAAGTGAAATGTCACAAGAAGGTGTGAGCACAAGAGAGTCTGATAACTGCTCCCCACTAGGAAGCCTTGAACACACCGGTATAACTGAGGGGCCAGCTTTCTTCACGAGCGTCCCTTAGTTTTCCTTAATATTTGCATGATCTGGCATGAGATGATGACACAGGCATAAAAGGTTATCTGTGAAACTGGAAACAGCTAATTTTAGTATCACCCGTGTGATATGACATGGACTATACACATGCATCGGGACACCAATTGAAATGCTTCAACGAGCTGGTGTAGTTTGTCATTGGGGATAGCCCTCTTGAATTTTTGTTATATGTTTTTCAGTAAATGAAACCCAGGATTAATGAGCCTATGGAAACAGCAAGTAGAATAAGTGGAAGAGTGTGGGGTGGGGGTGGGGATAGTGGAGAGATTATGTCAAAGAGTTCAAGAAGAAAGCAAATATTTAGAAACTGATTGTAGTAGTAATTGTATAATTCTGCTTGTATAAAACAGTTTTTTTGGGGAAAAAAAGCTATATCCTCCCCCAAAAAGGATTTCAGATTTCAATATGTATTACAACTTAATATAAAGAAAACAAATATCCTCACAACTGGACCAATAAACAACATTGTGATTAACAAAGACAATATTAAAATTGTCAAAAATTTTTCTCTTGCTTGGATCCACAATCAATGCTCATGGAAGCAGCAGTCAAGAAATCAAAAGGCACATTGCATTGGGCAAATCTGCTGCACAAGTCCTCTTCCAAGTATTGAAAAGCAAGGATGCGATTTTGAGGACTAGGGTGCAGTTGCTCTACGACATGGTCTTTTCAATTGCCTCAGAAGCGTGGAAAAGCTGGACATTGAATAAAGAAGACAAAGTTGAATCAATGCATTTGAATTTTGGTGCTGGCATAGAACACTGAAAGTATTATAGACGTGCCAAAAGAACAAACAACTCTGTCTTGGAAGAAGCCAGGATAGTGAGACTGCATCTCATGTACTTTGAACATGTAGGAGGGGTTGGTCCTTGAGAAAAGGACCCCATGCTCGGTAAAGTAGAGGGGCAGAGAAAGAGAAGAGTCCCTGCAAGATGGATTGATACAGTGGCTGCAGTGATGGTTTTGAACGATTGTGAAGGTGATGTGAGACCTGGGGTCAATGTTTCTTTCTGTTGTATGCAGGGACGCTATGAGTGGGAACCGACTTGTGGTACCTAACAGCACACATACCATCAACACACACATGCACCCACTTTTATTGATAGCTCAGTTACGTATTCAGAATATGTTACATATTCAGTTCCATATTCGACAATCATCATGTTGAATCTTGAGCCTTCCCAAATTTTTATTGTCTAAATTTTTAGCAATTCAGATGAACTAATTTACCATTTGTAGAAGCCACCTTGAAATCTTTGGGTGTTGGAAATGTTAACTGGCGTGGCTGTTAACCCTAAGGTTGGGAGGCTGAAGTTTGCTCAGAGGCAAAGAAAGCACAGTGTTTAACTTAAAAAAAACCCCACACAACAAAAACCAAAAACGTAACAAAACTTAAGAACTGAAAAAAAATCAGCCACTGCAAGCCTTATAGAATCCAATTTCCTCTGACCCACACTGGGCCACCGTTAGTTGACATCAACTCTTCCATGATGATTACCTCTGCTATAGAAGGGGTCATACATGACGCCAGGCATCTGAACTGACTGACCGTACTCATCAGCTATCTCAGGACATAAAGGGAAAAATCCAGAAACGAAGCTGAGACATCAATGGATATTGTGTCACGTCACAATGGCTCACCATAAGAGCTCTTTGGATCCAGTTCTTGAAGAGCAGGACTTTCTCTCGGCCATGGGAAGTGCCTTGCTATTCTGGTCTCTGTGAAACTTAACATCGTCCCATTTTTCCAGTTGTGTTTGAATGTCTACTAAGGACAGAGGAATGGGGGTGGGGGAGAAAAGCACGAGGTGGGGAGAGAAGATGGGAAATTGGTTAAGATTAAAAAGTTCTGTAAGCTGAATTGACTCAGCAGAGCTACCAATAGGTTCATTTCCTTCCAGCGCCCATGCAGAAGACCTTCAACTTGATACAATCATGGGGTCAGCACAAGCCAACTGGTGGGAACCCCATCCTGGCAATATTCCTCCAGATGCCTTAAAGAGCTGAAGGAGAGTGTAAAACTTGATGGCTAATTTTTACTTGAAGGTTAGAAACTATATCTAAAAACCGTTCCCCACGCCCACCCCTTGGGCCCCAAGTACCGAGCCTAGTATAGAGCCTTCATTCTGTGGATTGAGCTGAAATGGGCTTGACCCCCTTTTCTGAGAATTATACAGAGCATTTGTTTGATTTTTGTGGCTAGTGACACATCCTACACACCCTGCATGCCTCATAGACTTTGAGAAATGTCGTCTGTCTTCATGAATCCACCTGCAGACGATTTGTAAGACGGGGGTGGGGGGAAGAGGGACAACTTCTTTGGGAAAGATTTTTGGTGGTCTTGTTTTGGTGGCTTCAAAGAGCAGATCTCTATCAATAAATCTATCACGATCTTGCTAGTTTATGAGTGTCTGTCATTTCCTTCGCAAGACGTTTACTAGCGCCGTGAACATGTCATTTGCCAGGAGTCATCCCTTAAAGCGGGGTAAGAGGGGCAGCATTTTCTCAAGCCTTCCCACAGAACGACTCTCTCTGATTCAAGACCAACCTTTGCAAGGTCTCGTGAAAATGAATGAAACACGTGCTGCTGAAAATAAAAAGTAAACCCTATTAAGACACTTTGGCTTGCTGTCCACAGTCAAGGCGATCAGATCATTTTACATGACTTTCCTTCCATTCTGAATCCTGAGCATAAATAAAGCCAGGGGTCCTGGGGCAGAGAGGGCTTACTGAGGTCTGTCCCATCATCCTCCTGAGAAGGAGGAGGATGGTTTGAAACATGTTCGGCATCCTTCTACAAAGAAATCCTACACAAAACGGAGGTGGGAGGAAACGGGAACATTTTCATAGCTTAATTTCTCACCCAAGGAAAGAATTGATAATGGGGATAGAGAGAAAGGAGACAATGAAGAAAGCCAAGAAAATGCTAAAACATTTCTCTCTCCCTGACTTCTTAAAAGATAAGTAACTTGGGTTCTCTCTCAGTAGCAAGAACAGTGGTGTGAGGTGACCAACCCACTTGAACAACCGTTGGTTCCACTTCCTTTGATTTTCATTTATAAAAGAGAGGCTCGGTGTCAATATCCTCTGAAGTCCTTTTAAACTGTTTAAAGACTTCTTCATAGGATAGCTGTGTAAAAGCAGAAACATGGCATTTTCTCTTTTGTTTCTACTGCAGTAGTGTGTTAGATTGCAATGCATTCAATGGTTTTTAAAAAAATCAAATGTATAGGTTGGACAATGGAATAAATCTCATCCTAGTGAGGAAATAGTAGAGATCATTATAAAGCTTTCATACAGAGAAATAGCAGGGGGTAGAGGATAATGTGCCTGCAACTAGTTAATTTTCCTTTCGCTGCAATTTATCTCTGGATGGTGGTCATCTATAGCGATGGTTACAATACCCACTCATAGTCTTTTTACTGCAAATCTCCATTTCCTGTTCAACTCTTTTTCCTGATTACTAGTTCTATATATTTAAATCTATTGGACATCTCCACATAGAAGGAACAGACAAAGAAAAACAACCCATTGCTGTTGACCAAGTAGAACTACTCTACAGGATTTTTAAGACTAACTGTGGAAGCCGACTGCTACATAGCTTTCCTGTGGAGTGGCTGGTGGATTCAAATGATCAAGATTTTGGTTATCAGCAGATGTTTACCCACCAAGCCACCAGGACCCCTTAGATGGCCCACAGGCCCTTAAAATAGGGAACTCTATACTCTTCATCCGGGCTCCCTCCTTCCTCTCTTCTATCCCTCATCATAGAGCTTTCCATATGCTATTTGTCTCCCTTGCTTACCGACACACATCCATCCACTCAACTCCTCTACGTCCTACTGTACTATTTTTGTGGTCTGTGTCTCCTTCACCATCCTTTCTGCCACCATCCCTTCTGTCTGTGTTATTTTCCCCTTCCTCCGTCCCATTCTCCAGACATCAACGATGATAGAGTTGTTTTTTCTCTTTCCTTTTCTGAAATCAAATCTACTTGTGTAGTTCCTTTAGAATAATCATAATAGAAACATCTACTCCTTGGTGTCAAAGCTTTCAACATCTCCCCCAGCCCAAATCTTAAGGGCATGACAGTCACAGTTACCATTGTCTGATCCCTCTCGAATGGGTCAGACTTATTTATCACCACTCCACCAGTCTTGAATACTATTGCAATACCTGTATTTTCTTGAAAAGACATCTCTCTGCGTGCATCTGCTTATTTGCTTCTCAATCTCTCCTCTATTCCAAGCGGATGTTCTGTCCTGTCCTTCCCACCCTTCTCAAGATCCACTTCTTCTCTTCTGCCAAATTCCTGTTAATCCCTCAAAATGTGGGTCCCAGAGTACCTCCTAGAAAATACCTTCTCTATCTATCTTCCAGGTTAGGTCAGGAGCGCTAGGAATGTGTTCCTGGAGCACCTGACTCTTAAATGTAATATAGAATACATATTTTACCACAATCATTTAATAACTTCTCTATCTCCTCATTACAGACTTGCTTGGGGACAGAAAGCTTATATCACGTATCTTTGCACTTCCAACATATAACATGTACCTGGAATTCAGTAAATAATCAGAGAAATGTTTAATTCATGACAATCTGACATGCATATCGCAGTGCTAATACGTTTCACATATATATATCTCATTCAATCATCTTATGGATTAGCCATAATGCACTCATTTTATGAACACACACACACACAAACAGACACAGACATGGACACACATACACACACAAATTATTTTAAAGATATTGTGAGGATTTAGTAAGTCATGTGGTCCAGTCCCTGGACACGGTAAACCAACAATAAATGACAATAAATTATCATAGTAGCAGATGTATTTCCAAATATGTTACATGCTACTGTTTAGATTAGACCTTGTGTTGGAGTTCTTTTACTTATGTTCCCTCTACCCCACCCTAAGATAGACAGTTCCTAGAGGACGGAGGCAATGCCTTATTTTAATTTTTAAACCTAGTGTTTGGCTTGGTGTCTGCCTTCTATCTAAAACTCTATACATGGGTTTGTGAGTGGATTAATCAACACTGGGTTGTCAAAGTTGAGCTTTCATTCCAAGCAGAAAAGAACTTGTGCCTCAGGAATCAGATAAGGAACTGGACTACCAATCGAATCACCTCCGTGAACTACTACCTCCTTGGTCAGGAGACCAGATGAAATCGACGGGGTCCAGCCACTATTACTGGATGTTTTCATTCAGTAGATAATACCAGGACATTGAACAAATGGAGGATGAAAAAGTGGAACTGAATTTCGAATTCTTATTGGTCCTAATTCTGACACATTAGTAGGTCCAGGACAGAATGGAAGGAAAATGTAGAGCAGAACTCAAATTCCATAAAAAGTCCAGCCCTACTGAGCTAAAAGAAACCAGAGGCACTCCCAAGACTATTGTCGTAAGACAGCCTTTGATCGTGTGATAAGAGTTGTACGAGCCCCTAATAAAATGATTAAAAAAAATACCCTCACAACCACTACTTATTTAGTCAATGAAACATAACAAAAATAAATAGGTAGCCTTTGATCATGGAATTGAGGCTATCTCTGTGAGTCACCGTGGTGCCAAATAATTGGTTGGCTTGCAAGATAAACAATATTACCTATGAGTAGTGTATTTCCTTAAACAATGAACTAGATGAGACCATTTACACAAAAATGGGAAAGAAGGGAGTGGAAGAGAAGGTGGGTCAGTGGAAACAGCACAAATAGAAGGGAAATAATGACAACGCTGACATGTAAAAATGATAACCAATGACATGGAACACTTTGTATAAAATTATTAAGGGAGAACTTAATCCATTGTGCAAGCTCTCCCCTAAGACACAGTAAGATATTATTTTAAAAATTCCTGCTGGAAACTGCTGTACCAGATACATCTGAGCTGAAGGAATCTGGGAACAACTTTTACGCCGTGGACAAACCTATCTCAGGAAGTCATCTTTAGACCAAACAACAATTTGAGCTCATTGAATAAAAAAGTTTGCCTTGACGGTCGCGTTTTCTTGAATAGTTATATGATATTAAGTGGACAGCAGCAATTCTGAGACACAGAGAAGAACATTAAGGGGCAGAGAGAGTCGGTTAACTGGGGAAACAGAGCAGGCAGACATAGTGGGAGTGCTGATAACACTGGCTAAATATTGCATGTAAACATTGTTGAAGAGCTATATGTTTTGCTTCATCTATTTTCATTTCAAAAGAAGAACCTGCACCAAAATCAATTTCCCAAATAGAATGAATCTTTTCCACTCCTTTCCCCATTGTCTTAATATCACTTAGGGACCTGCCTTGTTGTAGCAACAGACAGCTGGGAAACTTCTGCTTTCCAGCAGGACCAGATAAAGCAGCAGTAGACAAGTGCTCCTGTCTTACCTAAATCTAAGGATGACGTCTCGGGGACTCTGAGAGGCTGGCCTCTCTGCTCAGCATCTGCACTGATGAGGTCAGAGCCACCAGCCTTTTTCTTGAGGGATGAGGTTTTTGACGAGGCCTCTGGCTTCTTGGCTTTGGTTTGAGTTTGAGAGACTGGCTCACTCAGGTCCAGGAGATCCAAGCCTGTGGTCAATACTGTCAGAGATGGGAGAGGTTACTGCTCTGAAATCATAACAAAAATACCTTTGTTATGGGTAGAGAAGCAATTATATATTTTTCAATATAGGCTAGAGACATCAAATTAAATTAGCTTACCATGAGTATATACACATGGCCTGGATTTAGCTTTTTTATTCTTCTTCTTCATGTTTTCCTTTATTTGCTAAGGTGCAAATCAATAAGATGGAACTTTGATCAGCCATGAAGTGATGAAGTGGTGAAATGATAATGCTAAGAGAGTGTCTGGGTACAGACACTCAAACCCAAACTCACTGCCATTGAGTTGACAGAGATTTACAGTGACCCTTTAGGACGATAGAACTGCTCCTGTGTGTTTCTGAGACTGTCACTCTCTACGGGATAGAAAGCCCTGTCTTTCTCTAGCAGAGCGGCTGGCAGTTTCAGACGGATGACTTTATGTATGGCAGCCCTGTGGATAACCACTATTGCACCAGGGCTCTGGTTCAGATGGTGCTCACTTGTTATTGTGGGTTTCTTTAGAGAGAAGGTTTATTTTAAATCGCAGTTTTTCCAAGAAAGAATCTATCTATACTATATTCAGAAATAGACTTGCAAAACTATTATAAATAAGATTTGGTGAGGTGTCCTGGTGTCTTTCTGTTTTAATTTTAAACTTCTAATGTACACAGGGTATAAAGATGTGCTGTTGATCTTCTTTTATTTAATTAAGTAATTTAATCAGAAAATAACCTGCTGTTTGGGCTCACACGGGAGAGGTATCTAATAATCCATAGCTGATGAATAGGTATACATGTTAATACCTTGGCTGCTTAATATGCAAATTTCAATTTCAATGTAACACACCATAAAACTGGAGCCCTAGGTTGATTAGATTGTATTAAATACTGTAATAAAGGAAGAAACAGTACTTTGTTCAAAAACAAACTAGGCAAACGAGAGTTTCAAAGGCAGGCTTTGCAAATCTTTCCTCTTTCTCTCAGCAGTGCACAAGTTTTTGACTAGCTCTTTGTGAGAAACAGAAGCCTCAAATTAAAGGTGCTTTCTCCAGCCTTCTCTCTTCCCCAGCTTGGGGAGAAGTTGCCTTCTGATCAGGCATGGCAGCTTTCTGGCCGATAGTCTTTTCTCCCAATCAGCTTACAAAAGCCACAGAGGTGATGCCGATGCCTTACTGCACAGCATCCTTACTACTGGCCTTCACCACCCCTCCTCGTTGGCTCTCAGCTTTTGTTCCTGGTGGGGAATGGAGATTTGCTTCAGGGGGTTCTGCCCTTGCACCCAAGGCAAGGTCAGAGCTCCATAAAGCTCACCACTGGGATTTCTGGAGTATCGAGGAGCCCTGCTAGCATAGTGGTTAAGCACTGGGATGCTAACTGCAAGGTCACTAGCTGCTCTGAGGGAGAGAGACCAGGCTTTCCACTCTAGTCGAGAGTGACAGTCTTGGAAATGCACAAAGGCAGTTCTACCCTGTCCTATAGGGTCGCTGTGCATCAGCATTGACTTGATGGCAGTGAGTTTGGTTTGGGTACTGCCCTGGTGGCACAGTGGCTGGCTACTCTCTATGCTATTAACTGCAAGGTCAGCAGTTCAAAACCACCAGCTACTCCGCAGGAGAAAGACGGGGCTTTCTACTCTCAGAAACAGTTAAAGCCACAAGAACAGTTCTACCCTGTCCTGTAGGATGGCGAAGAGTCAGGACTGGCTTGGTCGCAGTGACTTTGCTTTTTGGTTTTGCTCTCATATGCTGAGTACCGTGAGGGAGCCTCAAATAGGGCCCTGCTTCCCTCGTGAAAATCTTGTTTTCGGATTACAATCACAAATCGTGGTGGTGAAGGCGCGAATGGTGGGGAAGTGGAAAAACCAGGCTCCCACACTGCTTAGTTGTGTGATTTGGGGTAAAATTCTTGATTTCTCTGAGTTTCAGTTTCCTTATCTGCAAAATAGGGAACTCATAGTCAATCTACTTCCAAAAGGTCACACCCCTGTAAACCCCAGGAGGGGGTGGTGTTCCACTCTGCATGCATGGGGCCCATGCGTCTGAATGGCAACTGGTTTGGTTGGGCTTTGCTTTTTATTAGTTGTGGTTTTTGGATTCACTTACATGATGTGTGTACAGGGCCAGGCACATAATAGGTATGAAATGAGTGCTATTTATAGCCCTGGGTGGCCAATTTTTGAGAGTTTTCTTTTTTCCTTTTTGTCGACCTCACATTTTTCTTGTCTCCTTTCTATTTTAGGCAGGACCCAGATCCACACACTGACAGAAAGAGGAAGCCCCACTGGGAATAAAATGGGGCCTGAGACAGGCTTTGGTCTACCGAGGATCCTGGGAAGGCACGTATCATGAAGTGGCGGACAGTGTCGGCTTCTCTCATCTGACTCTTCCTGAGGCGCTGGGAGCCTCTTTCCCATGTTGAGATGGTTGGAGATAGGAGGAGTGTTTTTCGGCCAGGAAGTACTTGAGCGGGAGGGAAAAGAACTAGCTTTCAGACCTAAGCTGTCCAGTTTTCCGTCTAAACCTCAAGCATGGCAGATGGCCAAGATAGGGTAGCATGCCACCCTCCCCACCCCAAATCCATGGAACACTTCAGCAGAAATTTCCAGGTCACTGGCAGAGACTCTGGGCCCCGTGTGATAGCCTTATAATAGAAGGAAGTGGCTGAAGGTCTCTGATTGCCTCCTCTCTCTCTCTCTCTCTCTCTCTCTCTCTCTCTCTCTCTCTTTTTCCCAACTGTACAATTAGGAATTAGTCACTTGCTCCTGGACTTCTTTTTGCAGTAAATTACATAGACACGGTCCTCTTTCTTTATAGGAAATGCATTTGTTACAGAATAATAACTGGTAACGTAATTCTGTATCTGTGTCTGACCATTCAGAACAAATGCATGTCTAAAAAGTGTGAATTCTGAATGCAAGCTTGGCTCGGCGCTGTTTTTCTCCCCCTCCGAAGTGTTCTCGGCGTCTCCTGGGTTTGCTCTCAGCTCTCGAGCCCTTTGTTCTTTGCCCAGAAAATGTGGAGCCAACACTGGGGGCACACAAAAGGCCTTGCTGGTTGCCCAGTTGGTAAAGGGGGGCGGTGTGAGGTCAAAGGACAAGCTTTGAAGCAGAGAGAGTCCCCATGGGCCTCATTTTCAAAAACACTGAAGGATGGGTGGGTGGGTAGGTGGGCTACAGACTTTCACCCTCTGGAAGGTGACGGTTCCTGGTTTTCTCGCATTGGGCGTGTTCATTGGTTAAGATTGAAAAGACACAGCTCACAGCACCCTATGAGCTTCTAAGACAGCATGCCTTGGGATGGATGGACGAGGCTGGGGAGTCTCTCAACATAATTTTACAGATTTTTCATAGGCACAGGAAAGCTTGAGGTCTAGTATCCGTGTCTGTAAATCAATCAATACCAAGTATGACCCTTCTTACAAACCTTTTGCCACCAACTCAAACCTGACTCCTGGTGACCCCGGGTGCTACAGAATAGAACTATTCCATAGGGGGTTTCTCGACTGTAATCTTTGCAGAAGCAGATTGTCAGGCTAACTTCCCAGGCCTTTTCTTCCTCTCAATAGTAGCCGTGAACGCCTGTGCCTGTGTGCAAAGCCCTCAGCCTAGCTTCTGGTGATCATCTTTTCATGTATATACTGCCTGTCCTGCTGGGACGCTCTGTCACCACTCACAGCCTCCTGGGCTGTATGGTTCCACAGTCCACAGGAGTCAGACCCTCCCCCCCCCCTTCTGCTGCAACAGGGTCTATATGTGCCCACATGGGTCATGTGCCACCTTGTCCTCTCATCCTCATTTCAACTCAGCTAACCCTTTTAGTGTGGTGATGTTATTTAGTCATTGTTCATGAAGTAAGGCACACAGAACAGTGTTGAAAAGTCCTGGGTCAAATCCTAACCCACGCATGTACTAGCTGTGCTGGGCATGCTACCTGGCTGCTTCGAGTTTTAGTATTCATCTGCGTAACATAAGGCTAAGGCTCTACTTCATGGACCGAAACATTAAATGAAGTGCGTTGTCTAAAGCTCTTTGAACCATATCAGAAGCTTTACAGTAATTCAAATACATGTTTATTAGGACCAGGAGACTGTCCTGAAAACCCTAAGACTTCAAGTACACTAGACATATGAGGTTAGAAGTAATTGTAAATATGATCCACTGAACGTATTTAATACAGAAAGTGCGTAGAGAATCACTATGAATTACAATGACCTTAACAACAATGGGCTTGCTTGTTTGGGTTTAAAGTGTTGATGAGTAGTTTCTTGTTTAATCCTCCTAACAGCTCTGTGAAATAGATGCTGGAATTGTGCATATAAGAAAACTGAAGATTGAGAATATTAAGTAACTCTCCCAAAGTCGGAGCTGGCCTGAAAAACACAATAATGACTCTTTGAATACAGCTATATCCTACTGCCTGCGATCTGTGAGAATGTTACATCACTAGAAAGAGTTTGTAGGTATGCTTGAATGAGGCCTTTGAGAGGGCAAGATGGTGGCGAGTGATCCTGGTGGGTTAACCTCGTCACAATGGTCCTTGTACGATGGAGGCAGGTAGACCAGCGTCAGAAAAGGAGATGAGAGGTTGCAGGGAAACATGTAGGGGTTGCGGTGTGATGGAGATTTCGTGATTCGAACATGCCAGAGCCATGGTAGTGTAGTGGTTATGTGTTGGGTCTTGATCCGCATGATTGGCAGTTCCAAACCACCAGCCTCGAGAGAAAGATGAGGCTTTCTACTCTTGTAAACAGCTACAGTCTTTGACCCCTCAGGGGTGTCGCTATGAGCCAGCACCGACTTGACAGCAGTAAGTTTGGTTGGTTCCTACTATCTAGATCCACAGTATCAAAAGTGGAGGAATGAGCCAGGAGCCAAGGAATGCAGGCAGTCTCCAGAAGCCGGAAAAGGCCAGGAAGTGCGCTCTTCCCAAAGCTTCCAGAAGGAATGCAGTCCTGCTGACACCCTGAGCTCAGGACTTCTGACTCATAGAACTGCAAGAT